CCGGGGGCCACCCGGGCACCGGCCCGCCCCGCCCCGGCCCGCCCTCTGTTTACTTTACTCGGCCAATAATCGGGCGGGTACTCCCCGCGCCGTCTTTCCATTAGACAGTCTCTTCATTACCCCCCGCCCCTAGAGCCAGGGATTCGTTCAAAGAAATAGAGGGCGGGACTTAATACGTCACCTCTTCCTGGTTGGTCTGCGGTGAGGTTCGGCCCTTACGTTCGAATTTCTGGGCCTTCGTAGGATACAGAACTGCCAATTAGGGCCGAGCCCTCTGCGGGGACAACGGAGGTGGGTCCTCTGGGTCACGCCTCAGAAGCCTGGTATTTTATTGGATGAAGAAGCGTCAGTCATTCTCAGCAGTGCACTCTTATTGGGTCACTAGATGTGGGTGTGGCCCGGGTCCCTTTGGCTCGCCTCCGCTTTTCCAGGGTTTGTAGGGAATGCCTTTGGTGTCTTGGGACTCTTGCTGGCCAGCCTCTTGCAGGTTCAGGCCATGTGTCTGGCCGTATTCCTCTCGGTCGGCCCATCCTGGAGGGCGTACATCGGAAGTGGGGCGAAGCCCACAGCAGGCTGCTGCCTCTGGCCGGGCCGCTTCGGGCCCCCCCGCCCCACCCCGCCCCACCTCACCCCGCCCCAACAGCCGGATGTTGTTATTTCTTTCCACCCACACAGCCTCGCCCGCCCTCGGCCTCGGCTGCCTTATTAGGCAGCGCTACCATCCCAAGACGGAGGGATGAGCTCACACCCATTATACAGGTGGGGAGGTGAGGTCCGGTTGCTGGCTCCAAGCCGAAGACCAGGGAGAAAACAAGGCTGAAGTTTTACAGCTAATCAACACTTTTTAGCTCAACATCCTACTCCCTCCACCCTCGCTTCACACACCAGGAAACAGAGACTTGCCCAAACTTGCGAGTAAGGCAGAGCCAGATTCAACTAGGCTTCTCTGCTCCCTACCAATCCATTCATCCAAAGGTACAGAGCACGCATTCTGTGCCGAGCACCAGGTGCTGGAGAATACAATGGTGCCACCAAATTAGCCTATCTCTCTGCCTACCTGCTAGAAAGGGGATTAAGGTGATAATCCTATAAATAAATAAATGGGATAGTCTGAGAGAGAGTAGTAAGTGCTATTAAGACTTAGGGCAAAATATTGAGGGGAAATTTGAGCGGATTCAACCACACAAAGATCTGGGGGAACAGAGTTCCAAGCAGAGACAACAGCAAGTGCAAAGTTCTGAGCCTAGAGTAAGTTTAGTACGTTCAAGGAACAGGAAGAAGGCCTGTGTAGCTTCAGGGCCCAATGGTCTGAGATGAGATAAAGAAGCAAGGATTCGAGGTTGATCCTGGAAGGCTTTGTAAACCATGGCGAGGAGTTAGTTTGTTTCTCTTAGATGAAATATGGAGCTTTTGAAAGGATGGTTTATACTTGAAAAGATCACTCCGGCTAGTGGGCTTTTAGGGGGCCAAGAGCTAGCAGTTGGGAGGCTACAGAATTCAAGGAGAGAGGATAGGGCTTGGATCAAGAAGATGGCAGCGGAGATGGAGAAAAATGCATGAATCAAGGATACTTTGGAGAATAAAAATAAGTACCTTGAAAGAGGAAAACCTGGTGGCCAGTAGGACAAAGGGCAGTTACCTCACCCAGTGAAGGCTGTTGTGTCCAAGCGAGACCTGAGAGTTAAGTGAGAATGTGTAGGTTTCAAAGGTAACTGTAGTGCAGAGGGAAAGAGCATCTAGATAGAGGGCCAGAGCATGTTCAAATTTGTAGAGGAAGGTGGTAAGGACTTCATGCACTTGGTGCCTGAGGGCAGAGCACTGAACTAGGGTTTCAGGTACACATTGTGGTGGGCATGGGGAGCAAGAAGTAAAGCCCAAGACTTGGAGGGGCCTGGATCAGGGAGGTCCTTGGAAGCTAGGCAAGGAGTCTGGATTTCATTGGAGCGTAGTGGGGAGCTGTCCAGGGTGTGTTAAGCCAGAGAGTAGTGTGATCAGATTTGCTTACTCTGAGCCACACTGTGAAGGTGTGCTATGGGCAGGGGTGAAGTGTCAGGGGAGAGGGACTTTGGCTGACTTGTAAAGATCTATTGTTTTGGTGCCCAGCCTCTGAACCCTCCCCTTTGGGAGGAAACCTATAAAATGCAGAGGCAGACCCTGCTTTCCACTAGGGAAATCAGAGGAAGCAGAATTTCCTCTCTAAGGTCCTTGGTAGCTGGAGCACGTTTCCAATGCTTGCAAGCAGGTCTTTGAAATCCAAAGCAAGCGATTAACATAAGACATCAGGGGGACCATTTAGGACCCATAAAGGTGGCAATGGAAGAAGAGGGGGAGGTGGGCAAACCAGGCCCTTCCTTGGGTAGGAGGCTTCAGCAAGTACGCAAGAGCAGTTCCTTGTCAGCCTAAGTTACCCAGAGTTAGCTTCATTGTTTGCAGTCAAGTGTCCTGAGTCAGACAGATGGAAGGTCCTTTTAAAAGGAACCATTACAGAGAAGAATGATGCCGTGTGCTGGGGCAGTGACCAGGGGGTGCAGGCAAGTAGCCAAGTTGAGAGCTATCACCGAGCTGGGATGAATAAGAATTGATGATTGCTATGGGGGGAGGAGGGGAAGGAATCACACTCAAGTCTTGGGTTCTGACTCTTCAACCTATTTTCTACCTATGGCCAAAATGGTCCCTTTTATTTTATTTTAAAGGCAGTGGGATTATTTTTTATTTTTTTAACACTTTTTATTATATTTTTTAATGTTTTTAAAATTATTTATTTATTTATTTAGGGTTAATTAGATTTATTTATTTATTTAATGGAGGTACTGGGGATTGGGCCCAGGACCTCATGCATGCTAAGCACACACTCTACCACTGAGCTGCACCCTCCCCACAATGTTATCCTTTTTAAAAGGGAAAGCTGCCACCGTTCATCTGACATATCCATTTTTAAGGTTTATCCTATAAATATAATTGCACTCAAGCAAAATAAGAAATGAATGTTCAAGTTTGTTCATTGCAGCATTGTCCAAAACCAGCAAATGTACTCATTGTCCTTAACAGAGGCTAGTTAAGTAAAATTTGGGCCTTTCCTGTACAGGAATACGATGTAGCTGTTTAAAAAAAAAAGTGTGAGAGTGCTTTCCACGTACTGATACAGACAATCTCCAAGATAAATTGTTAAATGAAAAAAACAAAGTGCAGAACAGTGAGTAAGTTTGCTACCAGTTGTGTAAAAAGCATCAGGATAGGCTATGTTATGCTGCAGTAACAAACAATCCCCAAATTGAAGTGACTAAAAACCACAAAAGTTTATTTCTCAGGTATACCCCATATCCAACACAGGTTGTTGGGAGGTGGGAAGGCCCCACTCAGAGTAGTCACTCAGGACCCAGGATGACAGGGACTCCATCTCAATTTGTGCTTCTACAGTGGCAGACAGTAAAAGGAAATGCGGCAAATGGTATCATTCAGCTTGCACCTGCAAGCAACACACATCACTTCTGCTCACATTACATTGGTCAAGGCAACCACGTGGCCACAACTAGCTTGAAGTGGGCAGGGTGGGCATCCAACACTGCTGAGACAGGTTGTGTTTTCCAAAGATCAGCTTAGCAATATACTTCCATCCCACAGGGACTTCTGCAATGTGACCTTGCCTCCCCTACACCAAGAGGTGGGCTCGTATTTCCCTGTCCTTGCCTCTGGTCTGGCCTTAGTAACTCTCGTCATCAATAGAATGTGGTGGAAGTAATGCCCATGAGATCTGAGATCAGGTCACAAAAAGCTGAGCAGCCTGGTTCTCTTGCAACACTTGTTCTCCAGAAGCTTCTCTCAGGATGTTCCCTCAGGATCATGAGCTGTGCTGTGATAAGTCCATGCTGAATAGAAAGGTCACATGCAGGTACGTGCTCTGCTATGGTTGACAGTTCTAGCTGACCCCAGCTTTCCAGTTGTCCCACCCAGAGCACCAGCCTGATGAGCAAAGAAGCTTCTGGGTGATTCCAGCTCCCGGGCACTCCTATCAGCCCCAGCTGTTCAAGAATCCCCAGCTGAGGCCCCTGGTGTTGTGGTGCAGAGACAGACATCCCTGCTCCAACCTGCCTGAATTCCCCACCCGCACAGTCCATGAGCCTAATAAGTTGTTGTTTTATGCTGCTAAGTTGGGAATGATTTGCTACACAGACACAGATTCTGGAATAACAGCTATACGCCTAGAAGGAGAATAGAATTGGAAATATTTAGTGACCGACACTAACTCCCACAGATGAATCTGCCTCCATACGCACGGACCCCTCTTCTAGAAGGCCGCATGAGGCATGGGAACGTGGGTTGTCTCTAGGAAGGGGGAGTTAGATGGCTGGGGACAGGGACGGGAGGGGAGCTTTTCATCTTATGCCCTTTTGGATTTTCATTTTGTATCACGTAACTCTACTGCTTATTTTAAAAACAATCAGCCTGGTCCTGTCACCCTCCTGCTCAGGACCTCCCAGTGGCTTCCTGAGGTGGGCACCCTCTAAGAGGGCCCCAATGATCCCCTCTCCTGGAGTTCACACCATGATGTGATCCCCTCCCCTGGAGCATGGACTGGACCTAACGACTCACTTATCTTTTATTTATTACTTAATTTATTTGGGGGGTGAGGAAGTAATTAGGTTTATTTATTTATTTATTTTTAGAGGAGATACTGGGGATTGAACCCAAGACCTTGTGCATGCTAAGCATGCGCTGTAGCCCTTGAGCTATCTCCTCCTCCCTCACTTCTAATGAAAAGAATGCAGCAAAAGTGATGGACTGTCACTTCCAGGATCAGGTTACTAAAAGGCTGTGGCTTCTGTTTTAGGTACCCTGTCACCCCCTGAGGGAAGCCACCTGCCACGTTGTGAG